CCGTTGCAGTTTCAGAAGCCGCAGGAGCAGTACCCCCCGTTCCGCTTCGGCACTGTCCCCAACGGCAGCACTGAGAGGAACATCCGCAGCAACTACCCCGACATGCACACCCACATGGTGAAGTACAACCAGCGCTCTGTGGAGGATGCCCTCACCAGCCTCAAAATGGGGTACGGTTCCCACAAATGGGGTACGGCTCCTCCGGGTCAGGGGTATGGATCCCCCAAATGGGGGTATGGCTCCCAGATCTGGGGTACAGCTCCTCCAAATGGCCTACAGGACCTTCAAATGGATTAAGTCTCCCTGAGATGGGGTATGGTGCCTCCCAGATGGGGTAGGGTTTCCTCAACTGGGGTACAGCCCCCCTGAAGTGAGATATGGGCTCCCCAGGCTGGGTAGGGCTCTCCCAGAGGGGGGTATGGCTCTGTGCAGCTTCCCTGCATGAGGTACAGCCCGCCCAGACAGGGTACAACCCCCTGCAGATGGGGTAGAGCTTCATACAGCTCCCCCCAAAAAGGGATAAAGCCTCCCCAGATGGGGTATGGCTCCTCCAAATGGGATACAGCCTCCCCAGATTAGGTACATCCCCCCCAAGTGGGGTTATGGCTCTCCAAGATGGGGTAGAGACCCCAAAAGAGGACACAACCACCTCCAGATGGGCTACAGCTATCTGAAAGGAGTACAGCTCCTCCAAAAAGGGGTACAGCCCCCCAAAAAGAGCTGCTGGGCCCCCTCCTCACCCTTCCTCCCATTGGTGGGGCAGGAAGCTGGACGCCTTCATCTACGACGCGGCGGTGCTCAACTACATGGCGGGCAAGGACGAGGGCTGCAAGCTGGTGACCATTGGCAGCGGGAAGGTGTTTGCCACCACGGGCTACGGCATCGCCCTGCAGAAGGACTCGCGCTGGAAGCGGGCCATCGACCTGGCTCTGCTCCAGTTCCTGGGAGATGGTGGGTAGCCAGATGAGCTTCTCGTTAGCCCTGGTCCCATCCTCACCCTGCCCTGCAGGCATTTCTGTGTGCCCCCTCCCCGGTGTGGGTGGCTTTGGTCCCCGGAGCCTGCACAGACTCCGTGGCTCCTTGCAGGATGTCACCGAGGGGCTGGGTCAGATGATCTTCTCTGCCACCACCCTTCAGGGGGACCTTAAATCCAGCAGCATCTCTCCAGCTTGGGGGGGGGGTATTCCCTCTGGGGTCCCTCTTCTTCTTGCAGGTTGTAAAATCCTGGATAAGGCTGTGCGCAAAATCTGTGCACATGGTGGAGGAACAGACAGGAGAGGGCCATGGAGAAGGATGAGTGACTCGAGGGATGCTCAGGCCTAGGGCAGCAGCAAGGGCTGAGCCGATAACAGTTCTGGGGGCTTGGGAGTGGTTTTCTCCTCTTCCTCCAGCCATGGTGGGGTGGGGATGGGCAGGGGCTGCGCTTGG